TTAATTTAGATTGTGGTATTACTAAAGTTGTTGCACCTTTTCTCAGTTCATCATTGCAGCAGTTGTTTACTATTTACAATGAAGGCATTTCTCAATGTTTTTAATTTACAGGTTGTAAATATTCGTTCTGAAGGTCAAACTGCTAGACGCGGTACTGCGATCGTTTCATTGTCATCCCAAGAAGCTCTTGCGAACGCTCTAAAAATGAATAGCATGGTGAATTCTGCGTTTTCCCTAGAAACAAATTGTTCTTTTACATTTTTAAAAAATTATCAAGCAAATTTTATCCTTGTTTAAGGTTACAGCTTCATGAAGTAGGCCTACATATTATCTCTTTTTCGTTACATTTTTTTTTTTTTTTTTGATTCGTTTACTTTTCTAACTAACTCGATCATCAATTCCAGGAACTACAAGGCCGATCGCTGAAGATATCACTTCGAGATCATCAACCTCGTCCATCTGTTGGTAGCGGTAGGATACCTCTGCAAGATCACCAATCACGGTTACATTTTAGTAGCAGTAATGTGGGACCAAATAATGCTTATGGACACTACAGGAATAATGGTAGCTGTCACGAAGGAGGCTACAACACGTTGCCTCATCCCCGCCGAGGACCTCCACCGGTACCGTATCATGCTTATAATTCAGATGGTCGTAATAATCGCTTACCTCTCCAACACTGCTCCTCATATCGTGGTCGAGGTTTGTTTTGAAATTCCGATTAACTGGAACTAAATGATTTGTTTAAATCCAAGAAATTCATGATTGAAATTTATATAAATTAAATTGAAGTTGCTTTTATATTATAAACGGTTTTTTTTTTTTTTTTTACCATAGAATATTTTCCTTCATATGCAGTGTTAAATTGATGCTTCAGATAATCGAAGGTACGACTATGACAATCGTCTATTTCGTCATCCAAAGCCTGGAAATCAATTTTCTCCTCGTTTTACGGTTCATTTATAATTTCTGCTTTCTTTTTATACAGTACTTCACCAATTGTTTGGACCACAAAAATTAAGGCTGGAAATTTTTAGAATCGTAGTTCTGCTGATTCATATGGTATATCTCCCAGACCGTCACCACTTAATGAAAATCCTTTTTTCCATATGGAAATAGAGAACGATGCCGATAAAAGGTAGACTGCATTATTTGCAATATTTACAGTACATTCTTTTAATATCTTTCAACACTGTATCCATGTTTTGTTATATCCTTGTTATAAAGATGTAGTTGTTTTAATGATGTAAAGGAACAGTAAATGGATTAAAGTAATTGTTTCAGAGGTGCTGGACGTATTCGGACGGAAAGCGTACGAAGTAGTACTACAGATGGTACCGAAAAACATGAGAGACGTAAGCTGCAACTGCAACCTCGGACGAAACCTCTTAATAGTACCGGAGATGATTTGCCTGCCAGGCCAACCAATATTTTTGGTCTTGCGAAACCCGTAGATACTTATGAAAAAGAAAAGCAGGTAGATAGTTTTTTACCTCCCAATAATTAAATTAAAGAAAATTTCGTTGTGGAAGGTTTGAATTTGAAATGCGTAATTATGATTTTAAACTTTTGTTTGAATGAACTTTTGTTCATATTCTTTTAGGCGGAAGAGCGATTGCGATTAGAAAACGAAGCTTTCAAAGCAGCCGAACAGCGATCAAGAAAAGTTGGTACCGTAGAAACCATATTTGATTGTCATCTTTTTTAATTTATTTGTTGTAAAGTCGAAAGAATTTTGCTGTTAAATATTGCATTTTAACGATGAAAAATACTGAGTTCTGTGTCTTTCAGGTCAGCGAACGTGCTGTTTCTGTTCCCACATCTCCCTTACTAATCCATGGACAGGTTTCCGTGGTAGCAGAACCCTCGTCACATGATGATCGTGGAAATGAAAATCTTCCACTGCTAGTCCAAAAAGCTGTTCCAGAAGTAAATTGTAAATCAGTGGGGAATGATGAAAAGTTTAGAACAGTTATTCCGCAATTAGTTAGTAATGAAGAGCGCGTGAAACAAGCAGAAACACCATCCTTTGTAGATACATTAACATCAGTTCCAAAACTTCCAACTCCATCCCCTGAATCATCCATTGCAATAGTCCGTCGACAATCATTTTCAAGTGTAAGTCATTTTGATTTCTTTATTATAATTTGTTCTAGTGCTTCAGTCTCATATTGATATTCTGAATTTCTCGTTTTCACATAATTTTGGATGTAAAAAGGAAGATGGTAAAAAAGAATGATGTCTTCAAAATCTCAGAAAAATCCTCAATTCTCAATGATAACTTAGGTTTGTTGTAGTACTGCATCCTTGTAGTATCACTTAAGTTTAAAAACATGCAATTTGAAAATGTTGTTTGCGCTTGTATTTTCGAATACGCTATAAAATTTAGTGATTTTTTTCGTGATGAAAGTTAATTTTTTTCAGTATCCTGAAATGTCTGAGACGCGTGCACCTACAACATTAATGCGGACGCGAAACAGTTACAATCGAACATTTACTCGCTCTCGGGATTCTGTCCGTACGCAGTTTCAATCTAACAAACTACACAGTATTCCAGGTTTAGTTTTAGCAATGTTGCCACATGGATTTCGCATATTATATTCTCATAGTAATTCTCTCCAGGGCTATATGACAGGATGGTTTTTTGCGGAACATCGATAGTATAGTCTAACCGGTTATATCAATAATTGAATTGCAGTTGCATTTACGATGCTGTGATATAGAACTATGTAAACTGAAGTTTCAGTTTGAGTTAAATGATGCTTTTTTAGTGCGTCGAGGGAAAAGTGGCTCACGCCGCGGTGGTGCAAATAGTGGAGGCTTAGGATCGGACAGAAACAAGCATTTTGTAGTTAGCAAAGAGAAAGTTGAGGACGACAATGGTACTTCAAATGTGGAACCTATTGTACCTAATGGTCCGAAACAACTTGAAAATGGACCAAAACCGGAACGACAAGCCTTATCAAAGGAAGAAAAACGTGAGTTCTTGACGACGTCAGGCACTATGACGACGACAGCTAAACAGCAATGGCAACAGCAGTCCGACCAACAATGTTCTAAAAGAGAGAAGAAAAAACAGGTCTCCTCCAGATTTGTATATATCAGCAAAAAATTCTGGAGTGAACGGAATTTGTTGAATTCTTAGGTACACACACTCACACTTTCTATAGTTGCAAGCTTTTTTTAATTTTTTTCTTTTCAAAATTTTTAAAACAATTGTTTTTTATTTTGTAGGCTGATAGCCCGTTGTAACATCAAACATTTTGTTATTATGAGATTGATAAGTTGAGTAATTTAGATGAGTTCTAGATTGGTACCAATTCACTGGTTGATTTTTGGGAAGCGGGCAACAATTGTACAATTATACTAATAAAATTATTGTTACAGGCAGTAGCAGCGAGGGAAATGCCGAAGTATGTAGAACAGAAGCCGTTTACATTTTCATCCGAGAACAAGTATGCAGCACTTCTGGATGCAGATGATTGAAATTTCGTGGATGGCATTGATGACATAAAAATTTTGTTTGTCTTTCAGATAAAAACTCATGCAGTTGAAAAATAGGAGCTGAGAAAATGATATCTTAAGTTCCAGGAAATTGTATAATTTCAAAAATACGATAAATTTAAGAATTAGAGGATGACGGAGTGATCGGTTGGCAATCGATAAGTAAGATGAATTTACCTTCGCACTATACAAATTGTATCAAATTACCCAGTGGTGTTTCTTTTTTACTCTCGTTTTCTTTTTTACTCTTGTTATGTTAATTTTGTTTCTTTATCAAAATTGCATATTCTTTTGTGTTTGTTTTTCCGTTACTATACATTGTAAAAAATAAACGAAATAATCCACAGTTTGGATCGGCTTACTTGAGTTCCTTTTTCGAAGTTTTCGAAAATTATGCAAAAAATTTTCATTGCTCAGGTATTATGGAGTTTTCAGTTCAAAAAGATTTACAGTTTTTTTCTTGAAAAAAATTATGAAATGTGAAACTACTAAAAGTTCTCGAGATTATTTCGAGACATTGTACACATTCAAGAATAATAATGACTCGGAACTTTCTTTTGTATTTTCCCAGCAACTGTTTATGAGGCATCACAAAATTCTATTTATTCTCATTTTGTAGCATGTCATAGTTGTAGATGCAAGAAACTGTTGTATTTATATTGTGTTTCGTGATGAACGGATGGACGGCATTCAACAGACCTATTTGGCTGTTCTTTTTTGGTTTTGTATCATTTGTTTCATCAGCTGAGTTCACATTTCTTTCCATGAAAAAATTTATAAATTTTTGAATTGCTTGTGTTACAGTTTTCCTCGTGGTTCATTTCAATAAATCCCCCATCTTTTCTTCACATATATATATATGTATATATACCAGTGGTCTCAGTCTTTTTACTTTCATTAGGAGGCTGTAGATCTACATATTCTGTTTGTGTTTATCTGTGTATGCTTTTCTACATGCAATTTTCATAATAGATCTCTTTCAATTTCAAAATTGAATATAATTTTCCTGAAAAGTTTTTTTTTTTGTTCTACAAGTTACGAATTAATATAGTTTCGTGTGAGGAAATGGAACCGATAATGAGTTTGCTAAAATTAGTACATATGTTTATGCATTTGACAGGTGGACGGACATGGTAATTATTTTATGGAAAACTATATTATAAAAGTAAGCAGTCGTTCATTTTCATTTAAATTTGATTTCAGTTTCTCTTTTTCTTTGTTTTTTACCATTTCTGCACTAATTTGTCGTGGTTTTTGATCAACGAATTTGCATTTTCGTATGAATTTTTATTTTCATGGAGTGATTGATTATATTGTCGTTTACATTTTTGCTACTATATTATTGATAAACTTACAGCTAATCATTTTGCAGTATAGATTCGATCAACAATAAAACGTGTGGAAACAAGAAAACCGTTATATTAGGCTTTCAGTATTAATTTTCGCTCGAAATCGAAATAATGAAAATACGGAGGATCTATATTTGATAAAATGTTTCATTTGGTAATCATTATTGTTTTTTGAGTAGAAAAATTGTTCGAATTAGTTTTCATCAAGTCATTAATATTCGTTATGCCTGTAAAATATCCAATCTCATTGGTACTCTCGGAAAAATACCATCGATTGAAATGGAAATGAAATGATTTATCAATTGATAGAAGTATTTAAATGAAATTCATTTATTGGAGCAGATAGTTGTTTTAAGTTATAAATTTCCTACTTAGGCATTACAAGTTGTCAATTTTAATGTACCTACCGTTGAGTAATGCTAAATCATTAGCAAAATGCTTAATCAATTGTTCACGTCGAACATAGTTGTCGACATTTCTATACATCGTTCTCTTGTGTTCAACAAGCTATAATATTTTTATTTGTATATATTTTTTTTAATTTGGTAATCTAAAATTTTATAATACAATTTTTGTTGAAGTCAGTTGGACTAGTGAACCGTTGTTTATTGGTGATTTAATGAAATACTCCAAAATAACTGTTTGATTAAATTACGAAGATCTTTCGGATTCATTAGTAATCGTGTACAAATCCTCTTAGCTAATTCTCGCAAGCTTTTCTAATTAATTAACACATAAATTAATATGAAATGCATTTCATCATTATTCTAGTAGAAATTTGTTTTTCAATTCGCAATAATGAATTTTTGGATAAATGTAATTTCAGTTCTCCAGATGTTCAATGTCCAAAATTTAACCTTGTTTTTGATGATCGAATAATCGATCCTACGTGGTACGGTACCACCTGCCATACGTTCTGCTATAGCTTCAATGTATTGCACCCGTTTCGGTAGTGATATCCATTTCCAGGTGCAAAAGATTCGATCGATTTGTTTCCTACGAGTTATTCTTCGAAACTAAAGGTTAATTTGGTATGGGAACGATTATTCGGCTGATTTTTGATCCGGACATTTTAAAACTAATGTTTCAAATCTTTTTAAGTCACTTTTATACATTTCCTATCAAATGATCGATACAAAAAAAAAAAAAAAATTCTTTTATCTAAAACAAAAAGGATTTCCTGACAAATTGTTGAATGATAATAGCAGCGTGGTTTTTCATTTCTTCTTGATGTTTTTGAAGGATTGCTTCCGTCTCTGACATTGGCACTTGATTTGGTTTCAAATGTTGTTGTCGCAGATAAGCAGTAACACTTGAAGCATTCATACGTGCTATCGTTTCGTACTTCATCATTTCATATGCTTTGGTCTGTCGAACTTCATTCAGTTTACGCAATATTTCTCCACTTGATTTCAACAGTTCATCGTGTTTTTTGTAGATTTACTATAATTTTGAAATTAAATGACCCGAATTTAAATGTTTTCTTTTTTGGACTTTCTTGAGTTTTAAAATTTCATCTCAGAACGGAAATAAATGCAATATTTCTTTGCTTAGTGTTGCCAGTTCTCGGTGTTCTTCTCGGATTACTGAAAACATAAAATCAGATAATATGATTTTAACACCTTTAAATTTTAAAACCTAAGCTTGAATAAGTCCTACTAACCAGTTCGAAATTCTTGGACTATTATCAAGATTCTCGTCCAGTTGTATTGCTTTGACTGAATTATCCATTTCTGGCAATTCCGATTCTTGATATTTGCAATACATGTGGATTAGATCCAGACTCAGTGTAGCATTAGATTTTCGCTGAACTCAGTCTGTGCATTAGCTAAATTAGAGGTTCTTATTTAAGGTATGAATGAAATGATCATATGAATTAAGGAAACCTTACTATTTTGAGCCAGAATTCTGCTAACGATTTCAATCATTGATATTAAAACTTGTAGAAGAGGTAACAGACTTATTTAAAGATAGATGTTAGTTGCTTAGCAACGAAACATGCGACTGTTAAAGTCATGCTTTGGTTTCTTTTTTGCATCGCATAAATAATTGCATGTTTCAAGATTAGTTTTATTCTTCAAGTTGTTAATTTTCAGATGTGACAGAGATGAATATGATGCAAATTACATAATGGATATTATTCCTTTCAGTATATCCTTTTGGAATCATATTGATGCAAACTATGGAACAAACTGATCGAAACAGTGACCAGTCCCTAAAGAAGTCCGTTATGTTCCTTCTTTTCATCACTATGTAAATCAGTTATAGCTTAATATATCACTGAAGAATGAAATTAAGACCACAATAGAAATTCTCGTTAAACTACTAGAAAATAATCATTTAATACCGAGGAAAGATAGGCTTTTTATTTTTTTAAAAATTAAAAATAGAAGTTAACGGTCACATTCACATATTATTAGTGAGGATTTTTTTTAAATGATTTCAGGAACAGAAGGATAATATAATTTGTAAATTTCAGATAAATTTTAATGACGAATTGAAGAATTTCAGGAAAGTGAAAAATATTGAATTTGATGTGCATAGTTGTAGTCCAGCGATTATAGTTAAATATGAAGTCGAATCAGCGGATTATAATTTGCAAGTTGCATCACTTGCTTTGCCATTAAAGCATTGCAAAACAGTGTTCGTTAATACATATTTTTGTTTAATGGATTACTGCATTTTAATAAATTTTTTGAATTTTTTTGTTAATCTTACATTTTGTTAACATTTTTTAATCTTATAACATTTTAATAATTTGTGTTTATAGCATTCAGCTGAAGGAACTAAATGAACGAGTGGATATACCTGCTCTTGCTCGACATATCCTCCAAGTTTGCTCAATAATACCAGAATCCAGAATTCATGAATTAGAACAGATATTATATTATTTGCAAAAGCGGCACAGTTCAGGTAGCGGAAGTAGTTTTTGCATTTAATAACCATTTCTCCTATCCCGTTGTAAATGATTAATAATTGATAATTGGTGGTGATAGTTGATAGTTTTAGGTAATGTGAATTTGTCGGTAGAAGGTCTGAATGTTATATCGACATCACGAGCAAACATGAGTAACATCGAGGTAATTTTTCTATTATTTAACGATAAAATTGGGATCTCACAGAAAGCATGTTGTAGTACAATGTGCATACTTTCAAAATTAGTAGGAAACCGGAATTGAAATATGTTCATATAAAATAAATAAAACAAGAAAATAACTTTTATCAAATTGTTTTCGTATCTGAAATTGGTTAAAAAATTGTGGTGAGGTATTTTATGCGAAAAAACAATATATATATATATATATATATAATTGCAGGCAAGTTTTAAGCAAATCGAAAGTAATGTCTTTAAAATATATTTGCATGATATGCTTTTGTTTAAACCCTAGACAAAAATTTTGTTATTTAATTTCAGCAGCTTAGTCTTATTTTTCATGAATGAAATTTGTAATATTGTTTCCTTAGAATTTTTTGGTTCACTGTTTTTTTTACTATTCGCTCCTGTCATTCCAAGCAAAAATTCCAACTAATACCGGCCAGTTTCCAAAATGACCAACTGAGAAATTTCAGGATTATATCGAAATGCTTTACGACGAAGTTTCAGAGAAAACAAAGGCAACATCTTTGTTTTTGAAGCTTAGTCAAAATCATAGAAACCTTCAGCAACTTATTGGGAACGGTAATGTGATCACTAGCTCTTCTATTCTTGTATTTGCACATTCTTATAAATTAAAATAATTCATTTAATTCATTATTTGATACATCCGACATTTTAGAGGTATTGATGGGTGCTCTCGTACGTGTATTACGAGATGATTGGAAGAAAAGTTTCGAACTTGCTACTAATATTATTACAGTATTTTATAACTTTTCCATCTATACCAATTTTCATCAAATTCTCGCACATCATAAAGTTTGTCATTCATGGAATGATTTAATTTTCTCGAGAACTTTCATTTACTAGAAATGCAAAATATTATGCATGCATCATGGGAAAAATTTTTTAACAAAGTGTACATAAAATATGCAACTATAGTTGTATTGTCTAACATTCATCTCTAGATTGGTTCTCTGTCGATGCAAATTGTTGATTATGGATTGAAACGTTGGGAAGCGTGGAAAACAGAAGCATGTCACAACGATGAATGTACCAAACGTCGTTTGAACCTTGCAGTTCGCAAACAACAGCAATTAATTGCTGGTTATTTTTTGGTTTTTCATGAAAAATTTGTAAAAAGTGTTATCAAGAGATAGGCATTGAAATTGTATAAAGGTCACAATATTGTTTTGCAGCTTGTTTAAATTTGTTGCTGAATTTGGCTGAAGATATTAGAGTTGAAATAAAAATGGTGAATCGACGGATAGTTGCATTGCTCTCGAAATGTATACAAGATCATGACGCTGTTTTATCGTTGCTTTTATCTGCCACCAATTTTTTGCTTAAATTAAGCATTTATACTGAAAATAAGGAAGCGATGGTATGTATTTTATGCAAAGATGAAATTAAAATGTGTATTTCTGAATGGTGAATGCACGAAATTCTTCCTTATATAATAATCTTTTTTTATATTTTTAACTTTCTTGCAGTCTTTTTAATTTATCATTTTCAATAAAAGTTACAGATAAGCGGTCGCGTTGTAGAAAATATATCTTCTTTATTTCCAATAAAAAATGCAACTCTACGACACAGCGCTATTCAACTGTTATTCAATTTGTCATTTATACCATCTCTTCGTGATCAAATGGTTTCTGCTGGCTTCATTTCTCATGTAGCACCGCTAATTGATGGTAATTTCTTTTTTCCTTCATGTTAAATAATTTTCACTGAATTGTAATATTTTCTGAACAGAAAAGATAGGTATTCAGTGAATTAATGGAGTAATGATAGCTGCTGAAAACTTTTAAACTTCTTTCATTTGATTTGTGGTTTTGTTTTTTTCGGAGATGAAAGTGCCCTGAAACTATTTTACCAGTTAAGCATCAACGATGACGCTAAAGCAATGATTACCTATACCGACGCTTTACAAAATGTGAGTTTTATTAAATAATTTCATAGCATTAAAAAATTTTAGCAGCTGAACAGCTGCGGTCAAACAGTGAATATTCGTTATAGTGGAATTATTGAAGAGAAAAGTAGTTTGATAAGTTTTGAAATTAAACCTTTTAAGGTTGAAATTTTGGAAAGAATGATTTGAAACATGTTGAATATCTTTTACTTGAATTTCCAGGATATTCAATCCGACGTAATAATACTATATAAGGAAAAGAAGTTTATCAAATTTTATATTTTTTAGTAATCAGAGGTACTATATTTCATCAAATTTTTTATGCTATAGCTAATGCGCATATTGCTAACTGGTAATAATTCGAATATAGTGAAAGCAATTTTGATCAATATAGCACTGGAAAAGCGTAATGCTCAATTACTTTGTGGTACTGATGGCGAAGGGCTTAATTTATTAATCGAAGCGGCTTTAAATGGAAAAGATCAATTATTGCTGAAAATAGTACGCAATATTGCAATTCACGATGGTCCTACACAAGCAATGTTTTCGGTAAATGAAAATTTGCAGGGTTAAAGTAACTTGTTAAGCAATTGACAATATGTTAAAGGAATATTGCTATCATCGTTAGGAAGATAAATTGATTTTTTGAATGTTGACGAAAATTTTCAACCTTTTTAATTTCTTTTCTAGAAATCAAAAGCAAAAAGTGCTAAAAAAATAGTCGAAGAAATCCTTTTATAACAACTGTTTCCCTGAATATAACAATCATTTGTAGAAATGGGCTATTCGTTTGCTTGAAATTGTAATGGACCAAAAGGATGAGAAAGGGCTTGATTCATTTGCCTTAGAATGTTTGGGTATTATCAACCAACTAACAAGTGTTGACTGGGCATCGTTAGCTGAGCAAGTTTCACTTATTTCGTGGATTGAGGATAATCTTAAAGGGCAATTAATGGTTCAATCACATGCAGATCAATTGTTGCAGGTTAGATGATTGTTTACGAATAGGAAATATAAGAAGGATGATGAAGCAAAATATGTGGTAGATTAAAAGTGAAAAAAAAGCAAGGATTTTATTATTTATTCTTGTTCTAGGTGATTATTCTGTGTGGAACAATGGCTCGACAATTAAATGCGGCTCGTTTGATAGTGCCTCTCACAGATCAGCTAATCGAGTTATTGACAGGTACTATTCTTCTGGTCACTGTTAATAATACCTGTGGGCAATTTACTCATGGTTGAGAGCAATTAAAAATACATTATTTATTGATTTTATTTTATTTTAGTTTATAGAAAGACTTAGAGGAAAAACACTGCAGT